GAGACCGTTGCTACAACTCCTGAACTCTAGTGTTCGTACGTTTCAGATTTCGGTCCAAACTTAATGTTTGTAGCTGAGTTCGCCATAGCACATTTCTGACGATTTTTCCTTAGTTGAAAATTATATTTTTTTAAAGGTGCCAATTTTAGCCCAGTCCAGATATAGGATCCAGTCCACCGAGGTAGATGTTCTAGAAGTTCAAACTGTTGAAGCTTGAAACCGTGTTCGTTAAATACGTTTCTGTCGATTTTTTTTGAGTTGAGCTTAGTAAAAAAAAATCAGTTGAAAATTTGTATTTTTTTTTTGGTCCAAATCTTATTTTTTTAAAGTGGCCAATTTTAGCCTAATTCAGACATTGGATCCAGTCCACCGAGGTAGATGTTCTAGAAGTTCAAACTGTTGAAGTTGGAACCGTGTTCGTTAAAATACGGTTCTGTCGATGTTAGAATTTATCTCAGATGAAAATTTGAGTTTTTTGGCATTAATGACCAATTTGGTACCAAGGTCTGGATATTGGTTTCGGACCACTGAGACGATTTCCATACTAAAGGATTTGCTTTAAATTGTATTAACTAGGGTAGGTGTATCAGTTATGGCACTAGTGATCCTTTAATTGGCCATACGGTCTAAATTCTTGCATTTTTCATAAAAACCAAGTTAGTTAGTCTTAATGCTGTTCTGTATGTCAACGTTGAAAAATATGGAAAACATTAATTGGACCGTATGATCTATAAAGGGAGCACTATTGCCACCACTGACACACTTCCCCCAACTATAAGTAATTTTAATTAAAAAAAAAAACAAAAAGAAAGCTGAAATGGAATTTTATAAAAATTAACAGATATTTTCCACCTCAGCTACTAAGTGGCCAATTTTTTCGGAACCTATTTTTAATGGGCCGGATAGCAATGCATTTGTGCCAAAATATTTCTAGTAGAGCTTCGAAGATTTTCTAATCAGCCGACAACTTAATAGCTTATTTTCTTGGTCCACATGGCCAAATTGAAACTGATCTAGATGTTGGATCCGGAACATCTGCGGAAATCGATAGTCAAAGGCACAAATAAGAAACGGACACTTTTTGTAACTTCTATGCCGATTTCGATTTCGAACGTTCCGGCTATCGGTTCCCAACTACGTTTGAAATCTTGCAGAATTTTTTTCCCAGCTGGAAATTATTTATTTGCAAAAGTGGCCAATTTTAAACCCGTCCGGATAATGGTCTCTGGCCACCAAGACAGAGTTTCCAGAAGTTCCAACTGAATCCAAAAATCTTATTCGTCGAAATACGTTTCTGTCAATACCTTTTATTTAGTTAAGCTCAGTAGAATTTTTCGCTGTTGAAAATTAGTTGCGTTGTCCTGACTGGCCAATTTGGGACCAATTAAAAAATTCAGGTATCAATATTCGGCAACTGTGTTAGGGAAACTACTTTTTCCCATCACGGAGACGCCTCGTTTTCTGAGGACAAAATTACGCATTTTCGTGCATAAACGTTCGGCGAGACCGGATGGAATTCGATTTTGAAATCTGTGTTAGGGAAAGCGCTTTTTGCAGGCATTCGATGACAATTTTTAAACAGTTGGAAAATTGTGTAATATTCAATTGTGACCTATTGAAAATTGATAAAGTGTACGTTTTAGCAGATTCGTAGAAAAATTTCCAATCAATTGGCTTGTTTAGAATAAAAATCCATCCGCTATTGATAGAGTTGTAAGTGGTCAAAAACTGACCACTTTTCGTAACGCGGTCGATTTTGGTTTTTTTGAAATTGCACCCCCAATATGTTGCCGAAAGACGTTATCCTACGTAAAAAAATTAAAAGATTTAAAAATTTTAAAAACCTTATGAATTTAAATGAGCATTTTTCCAATCACAAGCGATTTTGAATGATCCAGGAATCGATTCAAATCGTGCTCGTCAAATGCATGCTTACCGAAATGTTTCTAACTGAGCTACGGAGACTTTCTCAGCAGTCTTAAATAAAACTAGGCAAATATTGGTTTGGCCTAAATGGGCAATTTTGAACTGATCCGGTTATTGGTTCCGTGGACCACCAAGTCGGATGTTCCTGAAATCGATCCCCATTCTGAAGATTATTTTTTAACCATTCAAATATTCCTAAAATAAGGAAATCGGAACTTTTTACAACTTCTCAAGTGAGCAATCTTTAGCGGAACCAAATTAGACATATCGATGCCAACCTGAAGCTTGAAGCCGTGTTTCGCACAGAGTGGCCACTTTAAGATTTTAAATTCCCGGTTGTCCATGATAGTTTTTTCGGTTTGATAAAAAAAAACAACTAGATTTGATGAAAATAATTAAGTCTTATTTTTAAAATCTTACTCATAAAAAAATAAACACAGAATCTGCTCTTCTAGATCTCGACAATATTCTGTTGTTGTGAAATCTTGATTTTTATATGTCCAGGATTGTTTGAAAAATATTAGTTCGAAATATACAAATTTCTCTTAATGATATTCTGGACACAAAAAAAATCAAGAATTCACGACAACATAATCTTGTCGAGATCTACAGGATAGCAAATTATTTCGAGCTTTGGACTGCAAAACATTTTCAAAACCTTAGAATTTTCAAAAAAAAATCAAGAATTTCAAAATATCTGGACTTGGGATTTCTTTTTCAAGATCACGGATGTCACGAACAAAGAAAATTTTTCAAGATTGTCGATCCTAACTACTTCTGGATTAAGAAACAATTGCAAGATCCCAGGAGAAAACAAAACGGTCTCGAACTTTACAACATTTTCAGAACTATGGGGCTTAGTACAGTATCGAAAACTCCAGAATATAGAAAAAGTTAAAAAAAAAAAAAAAAAAGTTGCAGATTATGGACTTGGAAAAATAAGGAAGATTTTAGACATGGAATTTATTTTTCTAGATTCTAGGACCTCAAAAAATCAAACTTTCTTATCCTGGAACTCAGAAAAAAAATGTGAGATCTATGATTTGGGCAAATTTTTAAGATCCTGAACAAATCAAAAAATTTCAAAATTCAGGTACTTCAAAAAAACATCTGGTTCTTTCTGGAAATAAAAAAAAAATCAGTACCTAGATAAGTTTTCACGGTTCGTGGCCCACCCTGGATTCTCATAATAATATTTATGGCGAGTTTTATCCAGTTTCAGGTTTTTGTTTCCGCCATAATGTCCAATTCTGGAGATTGATTCTGGACCACCGAGATAGATGTTCCAGAAGTTCAAAAAATCAATTAAGTATGGGGAATATGTTTTAAATCGATCATTCGGTGGCATTTTGTTTCATGAAAATAAATGGTCCCTTTTCACAGCTTCTAAGCGGCCAATTTTTCCGGAACCAATTTCCTAAAATATCGGTGTAAACTTCAAGCTTGAAGTCGTTTTTCTCATAATATTATTGGCCAATTTGGGATTCCCATGCTAAAGAGAAGTTTCGTTTAAATCTATTAAGTGATGATTAATCGAAATTGAATTTCAATTTCACGAAAATAAGAAAATTTACACAGTCTTTCTAGAACCCATTCCGGACGATACGGAAATCGTTCCGGAAAGTGGTTCCGACCCCTTGAATCGAGCAAACCACACCAAGCGACGCATCAAACTTCATCTACACTAACAGGCAGCACGACGGTCAGTTCGGAATCGATTTCGGAGATTCTTGCTGGCAAAATTCACACACAATCTTTCCGGAGCCGATTCCGGACGATCCGGAAACCACATTCGGAAGTTCCAGAAAGTGGTTCCGACCCATTGATTGGAACAAATCACACCAAGTGACGCATCAAACCACATATTTCGATTCCCCTAAGTTTCTTTCACATCGATTAAGCGATGATTAATCGAAATTGCATTTAATTTCACGAAAATACGAAAAATGAAAACACTCTTTCTGGAGCCGATTCCGGACAATCCGGAAACCACTTCCGGACGTTCCGGAAGCTGGTTTTGACTCCTTCCTTTCTAATAATATTAATTCGATCCCCATGCTGAAGAGGATTTCTTTTAAATCGATTAAATGCTGATTAATCGAAATTGAATTTCAATTTCATGAAAATAAGAAAAATGGACACAATCTTTCCGGAGCCGATTCCGGACGATCTGGAAACCACTTTCGGAAGTTCCAGAAAGTGGTTCCGACCCATTGATTGAAGCAAATCACACCAAGCGACGCTTCAAACCACATATTTCGATTCCCATTCGAAGTTTCTATTAAATCGATTAAGCGATGATTAATCGAAATTGCTTTTCAATTTCACGAAAATACGAAAAATGAAAACACTCTTTCTGGAGCCGATTCCGGACAATCCGGAAACCACTTCCGGACGTTTCGGAAGCTGGTTGTTTCTCATAATATTAATTCGATTCCCATGCTAAAGAGGATTTCTTTTAAATCGATTAAATGGTGATTAATCGAAATTGAATTTCAATTTCACGAAAATAAGAAAATGGGCACAATTTTTCCGGAGCCGATTCCGGACGTTCCGAAAAATGGTTCCGACCCCTTGATCGGAATCGATCAAACCACACCAAGCGACGCATCAAACCACATCCAAATCGATTCCGGAGGTTCTTTCGGGCCAAATTCACACACACACTCGAATTACAGAAAAAAAAAACAAATCCTAAAATTTCATCGAATTTAACAGTGTTAAGAGGTAGGTACCTTGATTGGACAAGAAGTGCTATTAGTGGTACTAGTAGTAGAGGTGGTGGTGGTGATGGTAGTAGAAGAAGTAGTACTAGCGAAGTAGTGAGAAGTAGCAGTATTAGAGGCACAAGAGGAGGAAGGTGAAGAAGTGATTGGACTGAAAGCGGCTACGGCGACGGCGGCGGTGGTCGATGAGATGGTCGGTTCCTGGGGCGCTCCAAGTCCCAGCAGCGGTTGCTGCGGCGGGTAGTAGCCGTAGTAGTAGGGCGGCGGAGGCTGCGAGAACTGATGCGACAGGTAGTGGTGGTGCGGGTGTAACGAGGATGATGTTGGTGTGTCGTGTGTCAATCTTACCATGATTTCTTTGCCGGTGGGAATGTTGAGACTGGGCTCGCTTCCGCTGAGCGATCCTATGATGGTGTTCTGATGCGACGACTGGTCGACGGCCGTTGGCTGACCGAGGTTGATCTCGGTGAAGCGACTGAGGATCAGGGTCGGTGGTATGATGGTAGCGGGTTGCGGGAACTGCTGTTGGCTAGTAGGTGGTGGTGGTGGGTAGCTGCAGTGACCGCAGTAGCACAGCTGTTGAGCGGCGTTACAGGACAAGGTCGAGGACGGAGGGGTCGAGTTGGTACTGGGAGGATACAGGGCTGTCGCGAACTGCGCCGGATAGGTCGGTGGTGGCGGTAGGGAAGGATTCGAACCGAACGGCTGTTGACTGCCTAGCGGCGGCGGTATGAAGGGGGGACAAAAGATCGGACCCGGTCGGAAATACGTGGTGACGTGAATGGTTCCGGGCAAGGGGCGATTCCTTGCACGACGATTTTCGCGGGAGTTGAGATTGGTTTCTGATTTTGGGTTTACACTTCTTCTGACTTGGTAGTCTGCGACTAACTTGGCTAGATTTGCATCTACCGAACGACGATTTTTGTCTTACTCTCTAAGATTGTTTTGATAATTGAACTGTTCTAATGCCTTACGAGCTAGCTTTATTCTCTAGGTTGGTGCCTTCCGGAGGCGGAAATGTAATAGATATAGTTTAGGATTGTCTCACAGGGTTTAGAACGATTGTCGATAGGGCGCGCGGTCGATGCTACGATTCGCCTGCTACAGAAATACACGTGTAGATTTGTCGATATGTCTCTTAATAGTGTAAATTTGAATAAGAGTGTAAAGTTTTAGAAATTGATTGATTGAGAGATTGTCAGAGTTTGGAAACACGACTCGATAACCGGACTTTTAAGGGTCCGGATTGGTCTGAACAGCGGTTGATTTGATTGTCAAAACGCTTTCTCCTTATGCTTAAATAGCCTTAACCTTAAAAATGTAATGTTTTTTTTTAATTCTGATTTGATTGTTCTAGCGCAAAAAATTCTAGTAAACTTCCTCTCACTCTCTATCTCTTTCACGTTCGCTAAACTCTAGGTTTCGATAATTGTTTCCTCCTCGCGGGGCGCACTCACACTGGATATTGCTGGTGCCGGTGTGTTTGGAAATCTCTAGCTTCTAAAAATACACACTGCTCGACTACTTTACCGAGTTCGGACCAGGCGATTGTCTCTATCTGTATGAATGTGTGTGTATGTGAATAGCGAGCCTCTTTTGACTTCTTGGCGGCGGCCACGGAATAGACAACAAGTGAACGAATCTTTTAAAAACTCTTCTTCCTCGCGCGTTTTTTTTTTGTCTATAATAAGCAAGTACCCGAAGAAGGGGAGTTCTCCAGAAGCAGACGCGCTCACGCTCGCGATCAACCCAACAAGAAGAGTTCACAAAACCGACGACGACGACGACGACGACGACGAAGACGACGGCCAAAGAACGCCAAGAGACCAAAGCCCAGAGTATATTTATTGTAATTATTTTTGATTATATATAACCGGTTTCGGGGCGTTCTTCGAGTTCTTCGTTTTCTCTTTGCTTCCCGATCGCGTCCGACAAGTCCGCCGATCGCGCGCACACGGTGTAAACAATTGCTCTTCTTCTACCTGCCTTCTTCACTTCGTCTCCGGCTCTCTCTCTCTCTCTCTCTACACACTTTCGTGTACTGGCTGGCTGCTGTTGGTTTTGTTGTTGCTTCTGCTTTTGCTATTATTCTCTCGCTCTTTTCGGGTTGATCACTTGTACGCTCGAATCTTGTTTCGTTCCACGGTTGGGGTTCGCCGGGATGGGACGACGCGAGATTCTTTCTGGAGACACAGGGTGTGGAAAGCACGCGAGCGCGGGGCGAAAAACGAGTTTCTTCTGCTGTTGCTGCTGCTGCTGCTGTACCACCTCTCTTCTACGTGGACTTATCAAAGTCAGAACCCGGACCAGCTAGCCGTACAAACTTGATATACACGAACCGTTCGTTTGATATGTTGATTGTCTCTCGTTTGGCGACTACTTAAGTATGCTTAGGTATTGATCTAGGACCGCTAGATTTGATTTTTTTTTATTTTTTTCTAAATCTTACTCTGTCTTGTTTTAAATTCAAATTGCCTCTGTAACCTGGGCCTATTGCCTATTGCACGAATGGGGGAAAAAACACCGAAAAAAATCTCACAACGACGAAGACAACGACGGCGATGAATGATTGAATCGACAGAAAATCTTTGGTTAAAACGCTCACAAAAATACTCTCTGCTAAACTGCGCTTCTGCGTGTGTGTCTTTCCTTAACTATTGAGCAACTTCGAAAATGTCAATCCTCCTATCCTGTCCCGCTTAAATTCCTCGGTTTCCTTAAAAGCCTTAAAACAAAAACAAATCTCAACAAAATTCGCTTGCAGTTCAAATTTTTTATCTTTTTCGCTTAATCAGGTATACTTCTGTAAATCTTAGTTTAAATTTTTAATAAATTGCACACAATCTCCTGTTGCCGTTTTTTTTTTTACTTTTGTGTCGTGTCACGACGAATCTCCGCACGCGGGTTAATTCAAGCAATTCAAATTACCCGGATTTTAATTTCCTAACCAGCCTCTTTGTCGCGCGTGCTTTGTCAACAACGTTTCGGTTTTGCTTCCTCAGGGGTGTTTTCGGTTGGAAAAATGATGGGATTTTTTTTAAAGGGATCAAAGGTCACACTTCTCTCGCTCTTCTACTACTTCTTCCCCTCTGACTCTGCTGGAGCTCTCACTGACTGGCTTCTTCAAACTTCCCACCGTTTTGGGATTCGCAGCACACAGAACACTTCTTTATCGGCACTCTCGTAACGGGCGGGGGAGGGTAGGGTGGTCACTGGCACTTATCAAACTCGATCGCGCTTTGTATACGCTTCGTATGGACCGGCAACGAACGCCCAGAGGTCCACCGTGATCCCGGCAAGCCGTATGAACCACTTAGGTAGTACTTAGCAAGTGTCCGAACCGAACGAAAACCGCGTAGAAGAAGGTCGGTCGCGCTTGAAGCTTGGATATGAATCGAAATTTCACACAGATTTTCCGGAATTTTTTTTTTTCGGGGTGGGAAAAAGCACGACGATACTCAGATGATGATGACGACGGCGGTGAGTTGTAATGAGCTGGTGTGAATTTGTGTGTAAATTGATTGAATATAATAATATTAAATCGGCAGCGCTAGACGGCACAGAGAGAACGTTTTGCGGGAAAATCGCGTTATCGACTGACTGACGACCGACGTCGGCGGCGATGACGACGTCCTTCTTGTTGGTCCGGTCCTGAAGACACACCACGACGAGATGTTCTGCCAAGAGACCAACCAACACAGTGATGCAGGCGGCTTCGGATCTCACTCGCGCTCTCACTCGCACACCGACTTCCGACGAAGGGGCAAAGCAGAACAGAGACGGACAGACAACACCTCGCTCTCTGCTGCTGCTCGCATTAATTCGCGTACGTCGTACAGGTATGTAAAGGTAGATATAGACCGACGGCACACGGCGCGGACGCGGGTGTGCGTAAGCGGAGCGGAGCAATGGTCCAGGGATCCAAGGCCCCCGCGTAAGAATCCGAATGGGATTTTTCAGCCGCTCGGCAAATGAAAATTCGATCAAACCTCGAGATTGAAAATCGAAATTTTCAAAAGACGGTGTTGACTTCACTTCAAAAACGGAACTCGGGACAGATTCAGAGATGTTTGGAACGGGTTTGAAAAAGCGAAGAACTGGTGTAGCGTACGGAGAGACCGTGAACCGAAAGCGACTGGTTCTTCGACGGTAACAACAAAACTGCCTCGTCGTCGTCGTCGTCGTACCTGTCCGGAAAAGTCGCACCGCATTCATTCGGGGAAACATAAGAATACATACGTTGACGACGTGCCATCCCTGCCGCATGCCATATTACAACATCGACCGACCGACCTGGCCGTGTGTACTACGAACGCGAAAGAGAGAGAACGAAAGAGAATCGACGATTACCCACCGCACCGCGACCCCGCGGTTTTTGGAACAAGTGCGCCGAAGCGTGAGTTCTCTCTCTCTCCTTCTTCCACTCTCTTCCTCCCACTCACACATGCGAAGCATGTCATGTGCGCTCACGCGCCCATTCGCCTTCTCCAGCTAGCTTCGTTCAATCGAAACATTAATCAACGAACTCATTCTCCCCTCAAAGGAGCTTCACGGAGAACTCTCTTTCTCGCGAGCGCTGAGCTCCCCAACGATCCTCAGCACCCTCAACAGCTTCACAGGTGCGAATATCGTCGTCATCAAGTCAGACGAACGAACGAACGAACGAAGCAAAAAGCGGAAATGAAAGTTAATTACACCATCGACCGTAGTAGAAGGGAAGACTCTATTCAATGAGCGGGCGAACGAGTAGAATTTTCCTCCCAAACACACAGGTTCGAAACTCACGCTTCTCGCGTGAGTGCGTTTTGTTCTTGTGCTTCGTCGATCGTCGAATCGAACCGATCGTCAGGGTGGCAGCAGGCGGGCGGTGAGCGACGAACGCGCGATGGACGACGCCGACTGCGATGATGATGATGAGGATGATGGATTTTAATTCGTTTTGTTTCTTGAAGATCGAAAAATCGCCTTATTTTTTTTCTGTTATGATGGGCCACAACGAGACGAGCGATTGAGTTTTATTCGATTGCCAGATTGACGGATTGTTGCGGCGCGGTTCAGTTGGAAATCAAAATTCTAACAAGCAGTCTACCGATTTATTTTAAGTTTGAAAGCTTTTAGGAATGACCAAAATAGTTTGGAAAACATTTGAAAGGGAAAAACAATCCCGGAAAGTTGGAAGCAGAAAATGAAAATTTCCATTTTGACCCGCGCTTCCCCCCTCGCTTATCAAAGTTTAGAGAAGTTGTCAAGTGCGAATTGAGAGTTGAAATAGGTGAAAACGGTTAGGAAGCATGCATTCAAGCTGGCAAAGTTTACGCTAATAGTAATAATAGAAAAGATAGAGAGATAAGCATTCCTTTGACTTTTTTTTTAAACTATGGAATGTGGGGTGAAATAGACAAATAGACAAATAGAGAAAAAAAACGAGCTCAAAAATTTAAAAATTGGTCAATTTTTATCTTTCTTTTTTTTCTGAACTTACTTGTACAATGTTATTGGAAGTAATCTAAAAAGCAAAAATAGACCATCATTAATTGTATTGCAAAAAACTTTGTTGCAAATTTTTGCAAAAAAAAAAAGAATTGTTAATTGGTCTTTTGACCCCACACTCCCTGGAAATTTGAAACGCGATTTCAAACTAGTACCATTCAACGTTATTTTCAAAATCAAAACCACAAATTCAGATTAATCCGTAAAACTATATGTGAAGGAGTCAGGGGTGGAATGGACAACCGAAAAATCTTAAATTTCTTAAGTTCTCTCTAATAATGATACAAACAAAAATCCGTAATAAGCAGTTATGGTTAATTTGGAAATGAACTGTATCGCACTGAACTAAGATCACTGAAGTCGGTGATCATATTTTTTTTTTTCACTGGTTTTTAAGCTGTTAACCCAAGTAACATTGCAAGCTTTGTAGAGGTTTTATAGCATTCTACAAGCCTACATCATGGTCTGCAGAGCTCTCATAAAACTAAAAATGTTACTTGGGAACGAACAGTTAAAAAAATTCCGAACAGTGGAGGCCTGGATTAGTGTGACGTCCCATTAGGTAAATCAAAATTGTTACTTTTGTCACTCCCTTCAAAAAATTTGAAAATCACAAGGATGTGTAATTTGTGCTTGTCTATGCTGCATGGAGAAAATTTCATACTCTTTAAAAAAAATGGTTACACGTTTGATCGCTTACTAATATGCATAATGTTTTATTGGGTTTTAAGTTACTAAAGAATATTTTGGGATTTTAAAGAATATGTATGATTTTGTTTTTCGTTTCCCTAAACTCTTTACCGTGCTCATCATTACGATCATCGGGTTGTGATTGCCGTTCATATTTTTCCAACATATATATTCTAGTTTTAATTATTTCAAACTTTGCCATAGGCTATATTTTCCCATTAACTGTAAACATGCAGATATACATATGGGTCGTTCTAGTCCAAGTGTATACTAAGTCGTGGTCAATGTAACTGATTTCAACCAAACTTTGCCAAAAGGCCTTTTTTTGATATTCTAAGAAAACGCCTTTTTGGATTTTGCTCTAAAGTGCTTGGTTCCCTCTGGGCTGCAACCTTTGAATATTTTGATTTTTATAAATTATATCTTAGAATATACCGTTCCGATTCATATTTCGGACGATTCAAATTTTGGACACTTTCATTTTTAATTAAATATTACATCCAGTTAGAAACAAAGTAATAATGTTAGATGATCGTGGAGGGCACTAGTCAAAAAAAATTAAAATTTACAAGACATGTGGATCATATTCGACCGAGATAATCAACTTTTAAAAGTGTCCGAAATTCGAGTTTAAGTGTCCGAAATTTGAATCGGCACGGTAGATTACTCCACAGTAACTAGCAACATTAGCAACATTGAGTAACGTGGGAATTTTAAACAGATAAATGAAATTTTTTTGCCCGGTTTGGGAATTCTTTTCAAATTTTTGCATAACTGTTGGGGACCTCAATACAAATCGGAAGAGTAGTTAATCCACTCTCATAGCCATATTTTATTTCAAGGTGATTTTCTTTGTGCATTTTCCAAATTCCTCACCTTTTTGGCAACAACAAAAAGTACCACCATTCGACCTTTTGTCCCTCTTCTAATCTTTCGACCATTTGTCCCCCTTCTTATCGTTCGACCTTTTGTCCCTCTATGAATCATTTGACCTATTGTTCCATTCGACGTTGTGTCCCTTTTTGAATCGTTCGACCTTTTGTATCTCTTTGTTTGAATCATAAGACCTTTTGTCTGTTCGACCTTTTGTTCATTCGACCATTTGTCCCCCTTCTCATCGTTCGACCTTTTGTCCACCCTCTCATAATTCGACCTATTGTCCATTTGTACCTTCGATCGTGTGTACTTTCGACACTTTGTCCTTTCGACCTATTGTACCTTCGACCTTTTGTCCTTTCGACCTTTTGTCATTCGACTTTTTGTCATTCGACGTTTTGTCATTCGATGTTTTGCCTTTCGACCATTTGTCACCAATTTTGGAATCTATTACAACAAGTCGAAAGACAAGAGGTCGACGGACAAAAGGTTGAAGGGCAAAAAGTCGAATGGACAAAAGGTCGAATTGACCTTAAAGGGACCAAAGGACAAAGGCACAAAAGGTCGAAGGGCAAAAGGTCGAATGGACAAAAGGTCGAATTGATCTTAGAGGGACAAATAGGTCGAAGGGACACAATGTCGAATTGAACTCAGAGGGATAAAAGTTCCAAGGGACAAAAGGTCCAAGGGACAAAAGGTTCAAGGGACAAAAGGTCGAAGGGACAAAATGTCGAATTGAACTCAGAAGGACAACAGATCGAAGGGACAAAATGTCGAATTGAACTCAGAGGGACAAAAGGTCCAATGGAACAAAAGGTCGAATTGAACTCAGAGAGACAAAAGGTTCAAGGGACAAAAGTTTCAAGGGACAAAAGGTCAAAGGGACAAACGGTTCAAGAGACAAAAGGTCCAAGGGATAACAAGTTGAATGCACAAAATGTCTAATTTAACAGAGGGACAAAAGGTCGAATTGAACTTAGAGGGACAAAATGACGAATGAACAAAAAGTCGAATTTAACAGTCACAAAAGGTCGAATTGACAAAAGGTCGAGATGGACCAAAAATCGAAGTGGACATAAGTTTCAAAAATCATAATGGACATAAGTTTGCCAAATATTGACGCTCAAACTTTAAAGGAACGTTAATAACATTGCTATGCAAATACTTCCAAAGAACTGCTTATGATTTAAAGAAGGAATGTATTCTAGAGAAAGGCAGCTATTTGTTTCTTAAATTGCAGTAATGCAGTAACTATTCGTTGTCATAATTTTCCAAAGAGATGCGCATGATTTAACGCAGGAAAAATATTTGTGGTTTAGCTACCCATTTCATCCTCCAACAAATTGACTAGTTTATCCATTTTGAAATTTTATCCATTCGACCTTTTGTCCATTTCGACCTTTTGTCCATTCTACCTTTTATCCATTCGAACTTTGGTTCATCTAACCTTTTATCACTCTAAGTACCATTCGACCTTTTGCCCATTACAGATTTTGTCCCTTCGATCTTATGTCCTTCGACCTTTTAAACTGCCACACCAGCCTGAAGACACTCAAATTTATCCTGAAAACGACTAAACTACCCTAAAAACGGCCCTGAAAGCGTCAAAAATAGGCTAAAATTGTAAAATGGTTTTCAAAAAACGCCACAATAGTGTTAAAACAATTCGAAAATACAGAAAAAAGGATATCTTTTAAAAACGAAAAATTGACCTGACAAGCCCGCACTTTAA